GCCAATTCAACTGCTGAGCCCAGCTCAGTCCTGGGCACAGAGTAGAGGCTGAATAAATATATTTTGACCTAATGAAATAAAGAAGTAATGACCAAATGAATGAATAGTGTTTTTATTCACACGATAACCAGAGTTCAGGCAGCTTTCCTCAGTTTAGCATGATGCTTAAAAATGTGGGCCCTAGACTTTTTAGGAAAGCTATTTAACTCTCTGTGCTTCTTGTCCTCATATGTAGAATGAAGATAATAAAAATACCTAATGAGGATTTAGTGGAAAAAAATCTCACTTAGAACAGTCCCACCATATAATAAGCACTAAACAGTATAAACCAGCACCTTGCAAAATCACTCTCTCTGAAATCATGAAATTCCCATGATCACCGCATCCAATAATTGCTATTCTAATGCACTTACTCTGGCTCACATTAATATGAATATTTAATCTAATCTCTTTGTATATTTTTAGTGCTTATTCTTCTGTGTCTCTCAATTCTGCAGGGCTGGCTTATTTATCAGGTGCAGCAGGCACAGTGCCTACAACACTTGTAGAGACCCACAAAAATGTTTTAATCGTTTCTAAAATATGCGGGGGTGGGTAAGAACTTTTAGGCCAAAGAAGATGTTTTAATTTATAATATTAATGTATCCACTTGTATATCTACATAACTGTAAAATATACTTTTTATTATTATTATTTTTTTTATGGAGGAGGAAGGGCCCATGAAGACAAAGGTGCCCAGGACTCAGGAAAGTTCTAGCACAGCCCAGTACCTCTCAGCCTGGCCCTCTGCATCAGAACTTTTGCTCTTCAGTCAAAAGAAACGAGAACTAAAATACCAGTGTGGCTTCACCACATTGGCCACCATCAGAATAGCTTATGGTGAGGGCAGACTGCTTATTGAGAAAGGATATCCCAGCACTAGGTCATCTTTGGACCCAGGTTCTACCCTCCAAAAGCACATGCACTCAGCCATGCCCAGCTGGGAGGAGGACTCCTCCTCAGCCACCTGCTTGCTCCCACTTGTTCCTCAGCCCTCCCAGCCTCCCCCAGCCCAGATCTCCTGCACCTGCCCTGCTGCCTTTGCTGGCTCCCGGTTCGCTCCCATGCTGTCCCGTCCTCCAGCATGGCTGGCACACCTGCCAGGATGACCTCTGCCTGGTCTACAGTTTCAGCCTCCTTCACTCAGCCCTTCGTCCCTTGAGTTTCTTACACTGCTTTGCTTTTTTTGTTCTGCTTAGCATTTTCTTTTGACACTTCCACCACTCCCCTCATCTCTCTCTTGTCCTTATTCATTATTCTTGCACATTGTCTGCTTTTCTTTGTGTTTTAGCTTCTTTATGATTCCAGCTTCAGGACACTCCCCCCCCCCCCCCCCCCCCCCCCCCCCCCCCCGGCCACCGGTGGCTGGCTGGAAGGGTGTCCAAATCATTGATCTTAACCTCGGTGTTAACCGGCCAGTCCCTGTTTCTCCTGCTACCTTTAAAATGAATTTCTTTTGGCTCCATTCTCTGGTGTTGTGTTCTTTATTTTATAATATCTCCTTTCTCCCTGTTGCCCAACCCTTTCTCAGTTCTCTTTTTTTTTTTTCGTGTCCGGCAACGGATCGCAACCCTCAGTGTCGCGCCCGTACCGGGCCGGGACCCGCAACGGGATCGCAACCCTCGGCATCGTGCCCGCACCTCGCTCAGCCAGTGAGCGGGAACCGGTCTGTATGTGGGATCCGAACCCTCGGCGGGAGCGCCGCCACGCTCCCAAGCGGCGCACTGTAGCAGTGCGCCACCGGGCCGGCCCCTCTCAGTTCTCTCTTATTTCCTTTTTGTTTGCTTCCTCTTCTTCTTGGGTCCTGGCCACTCCCCTCCCACTCCTGACCGGGGCTGTGGAAACTCCACCTTCTGCTCTGGAGCAGCCCGGAGGACACTGTCTCCCTCAGCCACAAGGGCCCCTGGAAAGGAAGCTTGATGTGTGACAGAGACCTCTTCTCCCTGAATTGGATCTCCATGCACAGGGACTCATTAGATCATTATTTTTTTCATGAAGACATTAGGAAAGAGAGAAATAGAAGGCACACTTGCTACATATCCTGATGCTTAGCTGCACATCAGGGTCATAAAACCACCTGCTGCTACCCCCACACCCCGTGGTGCCAAGAAAATGTGACTCTTTTATTTTGTCTATAGTCACCTGCTTGCCTTGGCACATCAGCATGTCCCTTCTCCCCCATACACACAGTAGTTGGTTGGTAGGAAAATTTAATTGTTTAATCTGGATTAAATGTAGACAAATCCTGTCAAAGAAACAGGCTCTTTAGCAAATATTTAGGCTCTCCTTTGGGCAATACTGCACATTATTGCAGATGCCTCCCCATTCCCTGCTTCTCCTTAAGGTGGCATGGAGTTGGTACAGGTGCAGTCCTGGGGTGCTCACTCTCATCCTGTTCTTCCCAGATGAAGCCTGAAGTGGCTGTAATTCATGAGCTGGTCTGTGTCAGGCCTGCCTCAGTTTCCACAGGTGTGCTGGAATTCTCTGAGGCATGGCTGTGACCCCAAATCCTTGGCTCAGAGGCCCTGCCACAGAGAACCGCTCAGGGTAGATTTCCTGCAAGGTTCTCGGCTACCTTCTGGGTCCTGTCTGTGTCACTTGAATATCAAGGTCACCCCAGGAAAGCTAAAAAGCAGCCTCTCCCTTTGTCTGACAACAGGGCTCCGCCTTCTTAAACTTGCCTATCAGCCTACGTGGCTTCCCCTAGAGTCCTAAATGGAAATTAGGACAGAAATGCCCCTTCCCTTAGTCGCCTCCTTACTTATCTAACACATAACAATATTAGTCCACACTTAGGTGAGGCCAAATATGTACTTTGCATAATGTAATTTTCACAGCAACCCTATGAGGAAGATGTACTATTATTTACATTTAATAGGTGAGGAAACTGAGGCACAGAGAGGTTGAAGGCCTTCCCAGGATCACGCTGCTGTGGCAGAGAGTGGAGCCAGGTCGGGGACCCCGTGGCTGCTCTCAGACTCTGTGCCGTCCTCTCTCTTCTGGACCCCTTGGCCGCCTCCTTCTCCTCCTTGCCTCCAGGCCAGGAAAATGGGGTTTTTGCTTGGGTTATTTACCCTGTAAAGACTGGACCGGGTTCAGTTCGTTTTGAAAGCTTCTCTTCTGCACTTCCAGAGAGAGACCATGTAGAGGTCAGCTGTGGGGCAGTGTTTTACTTCCACTGTTCACTTCGGGGGGATTCTGGAAACTGCTGAGACTGGGCAGTGGCAGTCATCCAACTTCCAGACGGAGATCCAGAACGTGTCCTCGAGAGCCTGGCTCAGATATCCCTGAAGACATCAACTGCAGGACTGCCTCCTCTGGCAGGGACAAAGAATTTGTCAAGGGCTGGCCCCCCACCCCCTCCTGCCCAGGTGCCCTGAGTACAGCTGCTGCCTAACATGTGGCTACCAGCTCCACAGTGAGGCATGCTTGTTGCTACAGGGACAACGACCTTGTCCTTCTACTTTCTTCATCTGGTACCTCATTGTGACCTCACAAACAGGATAGGATCAGGACTCCTTGACAGTGCTCCCCATTGAGGCCCAAGACCCCCAAATCCCTTATAAATGAGCTATGTACACCTGGAGAACCTGGTGTTTCTCTCAGATTTCTGGATTCTGGATGAAAACACAAAGTCTCAGTGTTGTGTACCTTTATTGCTCAAATAGCAGTAGCTTTAAGTGCAAAGACCAGCTTCGTACAACATTATCTTAAAAAATGTGAAATGACGTTGACTGCATACAGACTTTCTATAAGTGAACATGTTCTAAAATGTCGTAGATTTCATTTTTTCAGTCATTTATCAAATATTTTTCAGTAGAATCTCTACTTCCTCTTCATTTCCAGATAATACTAATTTTTATTCCTTCCAAATCCTATGTCAGTGGTTCCCAATCTGGCATTCTAGGATTCTAATGTGTCTTTAAGGGCACTAGGGAGGTCTTTAATACATTTTCAGTACTTTCTACAGAAACTATACTTTTATAATAAGATTACACTTACTAAAAAATGTCTTTGTCTTCAAGTGGAATGATAAATGACCCAAGTAGCATTTATGCAGATCAGAAAGACTGATTAGCACTTTTTAACTGAAATACATGAAAATGTTAATAATTTATTACACAATAAAGTTTTTAAACTATTTTTAAACGAACTGTAGAACTCTTTGTCAGCAAAGCAAGAGCCACTGCATCAATGAAAGTTCAAGAAATTTCTGTAATTAAAAACAATTTGTAATGTTCTGTTATTTTTCGCATATTTAGAATGTTGTGATGTTTTTGAAGTTAAATAAACAGTAAACAAATTTTTAAAAAAATTGCCCCCCGACCAGCAACATCAGAATTACCCAGTACCTGGGTAGAAACGCGAATCCTTGGGCCCCAGCCCAGATCTACTGAATCTGAAACTTGGAATTTCACCTGATACTAACTCAAAGTTGACATCCACAGTCCTAAGATGCCCAGAAGCGTCCGGGCCAAATGCAGAGGCTGAGAATCACCCCGGTGGCTTCCCGTGCTCCTGCCTGGGAGGGATCCGCCCGAGGCTCATGCCACGGCCTCCGTGTGCACTGTTTGGACACATGATCCGGCCACTGGGGCGGGGCGGGTCGCCCTCCTGGGCGGTTTCTGTTAAGTGTCCTGCAGGCTCCAGGGGAAGGGCGCTTGTAACAGGTCCCTGACCCTGGCTCATTCTTTTCCCCTCACAGCCCATGTACTGGGAGTTTTAGCTCAGCAGCCGCAGGGCCGGCTTTGGGGTAATAGTGGCCTCCTTGGTTAGGCAAGTGAGCCAGGCCGTCCTCCAGGAGCCATTCGCTCCAAGGGCCGGGCACAGCCGCCACGCCTGCTCCGGAGGGGGAGGCTGGTCTTTCTCCTCGGACAGCGTGATCAGGTGACAGTGGCGGGGCATACATAGCCGGAGACGCGGAAGGACGCACTCGGGCGGCCGCGGAGCGTGTGGAGGGCGGACATGGGCGCCCGGGAGCTGCCCGGGCCCGCGCGCCTGGTGCCGCCGCTGCTGCCGCTGCTCCGGCTGCTGCTCCCGCTGCTCCCGCCGCTGCTCTCGCTGCTGCCGTCCTGCCCCGCCAGCCGCGCCGCGCCCTTCGACCCCACCTGGGACTCCCTGGACGCCCGGCCGCTGCCCGCGTGGTTCGACCGGGCCAAGTTCGGCATCTTCATCCACTGGGGCGTGTTTTCCGTGCCCGGCTTCGGTAGCGAATGGTTCTGGTGAGTGCGCCTCCCTCCGTCTGCTCTGACCCTGCTCCGGTTGGCCCGCCGGGGCCACCAGCCGCGACCCAGCCCACCTCGTTTGCCGCCTTGTGCTGCCCCTTGGTCAGCTTCCTCCCGCCGTTTTAACCGCGTTTTGCATTTCCGGGTGTTGATTGTGTAGTTCTTTGTGTGAGTGCTTCGTGCTGCACGAGCACGGGATTTGTCTTCTGCGAGAGTTTTCGGACACACTGTATGTGGATCTGGCTTCTCAGCGGCTTGATAGTTGCGCATATCAAGTCGCAGTTATGACACCGTATGTAGAGAGATGAATCAACTTGTGCAGATGACATGAGCAATCACTGAGACTCAGGGTCCCATCGTGGCTCTGTATGGTTGAAACATAAAGTCATGGGTATGTGAAACGGCTGTTCATTTGGACGCGCGTGGGCTCTTTAATGTTAAAACATTCCTATGTGTGACTCTAGGAACTTTTAAGAAAGATTCTAGAATGGTACCCTGAGAAAATCCCTCAAATTATTATAGACTACCATATGAAAGGTGCTGCACCAAGATTGCTCTTTAGATTCTATCAAAAGAACTATGTAAAAATGTGCATGGCATCTCTTGAACCGTTTCACACACCTTTCCTGATTAAATGTTTCAAGAATTAAGTTTTTCATCTTCAACATAGAAATGTTATCAAATAAGTATATGTGTGTATATACACGTGTATAGTATATATTCCTAGCTAAAATAAGGAAATAGCTGAACTAGGGGTATTTAGTTAAACCTTTATACTCTACAAGTATATTTCAAAAAGTTCATTGAAAAATAGGATTAAAAGATAATACGAATCTTTACATGAATTTTTAAAAGCACCCTCATATATATTATATAGTAAACATCTAAATTAATATATAATGTATATAGTAGACGAAATACAGTACTAGCTATATATTGTTATTAGTCAAACGTATTTACTTCAGCAACATGTTAAAAATCTTTGTTTTGAGCTGTAAGGCATTTTGTGTTTATTTTTCAGATGTTTCAGATTAGCAAGATACATAAATTAACAGATTTTCTTTCCCCTAAGTTGTATTATATTTTATGTTATCATTTTATGCCAGAGGAGGATTTGACATTTATTAAATGAGACTAGTGTTCTGCCAAAATAAAACAGCTATTTTGAGTCATTTTATTTTTTGCTATTGTCAACTTCGTTTTCTACAAATGAACACATGGTTGTTTGTTTTGACATAGAGCAATAGAGATGCTTCTCATACTAAACAAAATAGAGAATATTTCTGGTGGTATGGAAGTACATTAACCCTGCGGAAGATTCTTTAATTATTTATGGTTTTCTTTTGCAGGCTTTCTAAACTTCTGCCCCCCACTCCCAATTTGACTCTTGGGTAGTCGACTGTAGAGATGAGTATATCTGACTATTAATGGCAATTCAAAACCAAGTATAAATGATGGACACTTTTCTGCAAGTGTCTCTTTTCATTTCTCTTAGTATGAAATTTGAGAATTGACTCTAGACTATAGTAGAGAAAGCAGGTTCAAATTAGACTATGCTAGGAGAAATTGGAGCTCAACTGTCTGTCTGTCCCAGTTTCTCTCTCTTTTTTTATTTTTGTGTTTTTTCGTGTCCGGCAACAGATCGCAACCCTCAGTGTCGCGGCATACTGGACCGGACCGGCAACGGGATCGCAACCCTCAGTGTCGTGCCCGCACCTCGCTCAGCCAGTGAGCGGGAACCGGTCTGTATGTGGGATCCGAACCCTCGGCGGGAGCGCCGCCGCGCTCCCATGCGGCGCACTGTAGCAGTGCGCCACCGGGCCAGCCCCCCAGTTTCTCTTTTGCAGTTCAATTTCAAAGGTAAAAATGCATCATGGATCAGTTAGGATACTTTCACTTCAAGGTATAGAAAGCCCAGATAAAAAGTGTAATAATAGGGGCTTATTATCTCACATAAGAAGAAGCTTGGGGGTACAGTCAGCCCTCCTCAGTATCTGCAGAATCCATATCCTCGGATTTAACCAACAGGGATTGAAAATACAGTCATCCCTTGTTATCTGGAGGGGATCAGTCCAGGACCCCTGAGGCTACCAAAATCCACAGATGCTCATGTCCTTCCTATAAAATGGGGTAGTATTTGCATATAACCTATGCACACCCTCCATATACCTTACATCATCTCTAGATTACTTATAATATCTGATGCAGTGCCTACATACCACTTTATTTGTGTGGATTCAACATAGTATGGGTGTATGGCAAATTCAAGTTTTGCTTTTTGGAATTTTGTGGAATTTTTTTGTTCCAAATATTTTTGATCAGCAATTGGTTGAATCCGTGGATGTAGAACCCATGGATATGGAGGGCTGACTGTCAGGGGGAAAAAAAACCAAAACAAAAATAACAATGCAACAATAAAAAATTATACATATAAACAATACAGTATAACAACTGTTTACACAGCAGTTACATTGCATTATGTATTATTAGTAATCTAGAGATTATTTAAAGTATACAGGAGGATGTACAGAGGTGATATGCAAATACTACCCTATTTTATGTAAGGGATTTGAGCGTGTGTGGATTTTGGTATCTGAGGCGTATTCTGGAAGCAATCCCCCAAGGATACCTAGGGATGAGGGATGACTGTAGTTGGCTCATTGATGAAGTGAAAGACCTAGGCTCTTTTTGTCATCTTCAACCTGTGGGCTTGACCTTTCATGGTCATATGACAGCAGCCAGGCATCATAATTTCATACAACCTTGCCCAAAGGCTGGTTTCTCTTTTCCTTGAGAAAGAAACCATTCCCAGAATGCTCCTGAGTGGGCTTCCCCTCAAGTTCCGCTGGCCCGCATGGGCCTCACATCCATGCCCACGCCGCAATAGAAGCTGGGAAAGTGTTTGTGACCTTTGGGCAGGCAAACACCAGTGCCTGCCACGTCATGTCCTTCAATGACGTCTTCTCAGCAGGAAGAGCCTGCTGATCATCTTTGGGGATGCAGTGCGGATTATGGATTTGCTCATCCTGTGGAAATTTTCTTAGGAAAGGAGTGGTAATGGGAAAAGTAGATGGGTCAGAAGTGAGCTTGCATCTTTTTCATGCTGTGTTTATATAAAACGTTTTAGATATAGTTTTCCTTGTGAAGCTTTACTTAAGCGGTTAAGGTTCCCTATATCATTGCTTAGAATGAATGCACATAACAAATAATCCTTGGAAGCTGAGTCAATTTATTAAAATAACGTCATCTTCTTAATTTTACTCCTGCCTCCCTTTCTGTGCCCCGCCCCAAAACATGTTCTCTGCTAGTGAATATAATGGGTGCATGATATATTTTAGGCATGTTGTCTTCCGTTTTGAAGCTCTCGTCAGTTATGTACATGTGTAAAGACACATACTACATGTTGTGATTTAAAAGTGAAGAATTAGAAGAGAATGGGTGGCTGCCTTGCCTAGAATGCTTTAGGTTATAAACTGAGTGGATTTCACAGGGGGACAGATGGAAAGTGAGTGGGGAGTTTTGGCTCACATAAGCTTTCTTTAAAGCCAAGTCAAACTAATGGAGAAATGAAAAAGAGAATCTGGGTAATATTTGAGTAAGGGGGAAATAGTAAAGGGAGCTGGGGCTATTATTTTAGATGTTTATGTATGTGCTGTTTATGTGCTATTTCCTTTTTCCTCCCTTTAGGTGGTATTGGCAAAAGCAAAAGATTCCGAAGTATGTGGACTTTATGAAAAATAATTACCCTCCTGATTTCAAATATGAAGATTTTGCACCACTATTTAAAGCAAATTTTTTTAATGCCGACAAGTGGGCAGAGCTTTTTCAGGCCTCTGGTGCCAAATACGTTGTCTTAACTTCTAAACATCATGAAGGTAAGTAAGTACAGCAAATGCTAACCAAGGTAATGAAATACAAAGTCAGTTTTTTTGGAAGAAGAGACTAAAGCACAATCATCCATGTGAAATCAGTTTTCTTTTAGGAGCAACAAGTGGCAACTGACATTTGTTTATAATACATTCCACCCAAATTGAGAGGAATTAGGGATACAGAAAGATCATACCTTCCACATAACAGGAAAGATGGCCACATTTTGATATATGTTTATTCGACAATATTTCCAAGATTTAATTAAAGCTATTTGAAGTGGGCTATGGGTTGCAGGTCAAAGTTTGTAATTGGAGTTGTGGTCTTCCCTTTCCTTTCTCTATAATGCATTCTGCCAAGGCACCGTGGGGGTTATGCTGCTGTAGTCTTGTGTCATTACCTGGCTGCACTTTTGGCAAACTCATAGATGGCTAAATGATGCAAATCATGGATGAATTGCTAGTGATGAAAGGGACACAGATCACTCAGAAGAAAAGGATTATGGAACTGTAATGGTAGCCAGAAATATCAGAGGTGGTAGAAGAACACCTAAAAGGAAACACAGTGGTCCTGCATTAATAGGATAGATTCCTCCCCTTACCACTCCTGTATTTGTAAGACCAAGGAAGCATCAGCACATTGTTATTGTCCTACTCACATGTTAACTCATTAGTTTTCTTTGCATGACCTTCTTTGCCTTGGTATAAGAAATTTTACCTCATTGTTTTCTTCCAAGGTGGGAGGGGAGTAAGAGGGAGAACCAAAACCCCAAATCTAGAATTATCTTAGATCGTTTTTCCCTTTGGCCACATTCTGGTAGCTTCATGATTTTCTCCTAAAGATGTTTCTCCTGCTTAGATGGATATTTATAAAGTGATTTGAAAACATGTTGATTTCCTGACGTCTAGGAACTTCCCACGCTGTATGGCAAAGTATTATGTCTTGAGTTTATTTAAAAAAAACAAAAATAAAAAAAACCTCCTAATCAAACTGTGAGGGCAGATGATATAAATTTTCTAGGACCCATGTTGTCGGGTGTTTTCATTGCTTATGGAAAATGCACTGCTGGACTCAGGAGGGAAGTTCACTGTGAGCTTTTAGTGGTAATACTGAACTGAAGACCCATGTGGTTTTAGCACTGCCTGACATTAGGGCCTGTCAAGTTGAAAAATTTGAGTAAGACCTTAAATATCAACGCTGCCTTGAAACTTACCACAAACGTCTTTGGAATAAGTGTGAGCTGTTTAAAAAACTTCTTAAAAGGGATCTAAAGAGTGAGTCAATCTTACATTTGTTCTAATTTACAAGAGTAAAGTGTTTCACCAAAAGTGTCTTATGAGGGCCGGCCCGGTGGCGCACCGCTTGGGAGTGCGGTGGTGCTCCCGCCAAGGGTTCGGATCCCACATACAGACCGGTTCCCGCTCACTGGCTGAGCGAGGTGTGGGGGCGACACTGAGGGTTGCGATCCCGTTGCCGGACACGAAAATAGACAAAAAAAAAGGAAAAAAAAAAAAAAGGAAAAAAAAAAAAAAGTGTCTTATGAGGGCCGGCCCGGTGGCGCACCGCTTGGGAGTGCGGTGGTGCTCCCGCCAAGGGTGCGGATCCCACATACAGCCCGGTTCCCGCTCACTGGCTGAGCGAGGTGTGGGGGCGACACTGAGGGTTGCGATCCCGTTGCCGGACACGAAAAAAGACAAAAAAAAAGGAAAAAAAAAAAAAAGTGTCTTATGAATGTCTATTCTCAAAGATTCTTTTAGATTTTAGTGGAACAATAACAATGTACTTATGTCTCTAGGCACTAACTAAAATTTTTGAGGCTTTTATATTGTTTCCTAAGTATTTTAGTTTATATATGTCATATAACATTTTTATACAGAACCATCAGCAATCTAAATGCAAATTCTTTTTAAAATATAAATTATTTCAAAGTGCTTGTGTAATGGTATACATTATTTTACTTACCCATTTAGTCGGTAGATTATTCACTTTGGGATAATTTAAAGGCAACATTCAAGCTTATGATTTACATTAGTGGGTTTTTTCAAATAGTGGGTTAAATGAATAACAAATTACAGATAGTGGGTATAATTTAAAGTACAGAACTACTGGGAAATAGTGGTTTTTTCTCCCCTGCTTAAACGAATAATCAAGCTAAAGGAGAATTACTACACATGGATCACCAGTGTTCTAAGAATCACACTATAACAAAATAGAAAATCCTAAAACCAAGCAATATACCTTAATCTTTGGTTTAGAAGACAAATAAGAATCTTGCAGGAGTGCATCTCAGGATCATCATCATAAATAGTAGTAGTTATTGCTTAGCATGGTAGATGTGGAAGATGTTCCCATCTTAGCTGTGATCTGCTATTGTTGGTTATTGTGTGCTGTCCCCTGTGCTAGCAGATGGCTGGGGATATAGCCGGGAACACTGCAGACACAATGCAATCCCTCAAGGACCTTAACATCGAAGATGGGAAATATTGGAGATAGATCAGACTGTACAGACCTTACGGTGCACCCTGAAATTTGCTTTTAAAAGCCTTGGTTCTGTTTAAATTCTCATTTGTTTCTCTTACAAAAGCAGAATATAGACTATGAAAAAATTGCTGTAAAACAGTTGTTTGTAGCAGCAGTTATTTATATATCACATGTACAAGTACTATCTGATTTGTTTTGGCATTCGTACGGGTGGAAATTTACCCAAATAAAATGGATATGCTTACAAGGATTTGTAATATAATTTTCAGGCTTTACCTTGTGGGGTTCAAAGTATTCGTGGAACTGGAATGCTGTAGATGAAGGGCCAAAGAGGGACCTTGTCAAGGAACTTGAGGTAGCCATTAGGAACAGAACCGACTTGCGTTTTGGACTCTACTATTCCCTTTTTGAATGGTTTCACCCACTCTTCCTTGAAGACCAGTTGAGCTCATTCCATAAGCAAAAGTTTTCAAGTTCTAAGATGCTGCCTGAGCTCTACGAGTTAGTGAACAAGTATCAGCCCGAGGTACTGTGGGCGGATGGAGATGGAGGGGCTCCAGATGACTACTGGAACAGCACCGGCTTCTTAGCCTGGCTGTATAATGAAAGGTAGGTATGCCATTAGACTGCTGTAGTTACTCTGAATGTTCCTACTATGTTTACAACATTTTAATTCCCTCGCTTCTTGAAGTATATCCTTTTAGGCTCATTGGTGCTTTGGGGGTAGGAAGTTGTAAATAATGCTTATTAGATATATCAACATTTACTCAAAGTAATCAAGAGTAAACAAATCAGGAGTCAGATACAACTCAGTAGTTTGATTTTGAAATCAAACTAAAAATCACAGGATCAAGAGTTTTGGAGGTGTTCATTTGGTGGGTCCCCCTTTTCATTTCCTACTCTAGTCTTTCATGGCCCCTGTTCTGGGACAACTGTGTTTATTTGTCACTGTTTCTGATTATGCGCTTTTTAATTCCCCTAATTGATTCTTTTTATCCTCTCACCTGTTGATAATCTTTGCTACCCAGTCAGTGTCAGTCTTGTCTGTCTCCTCTTCGCCCTCATCATCAGCATGCTCACTTCTTCCTGTTCTTTTCTATTGCTTCCAAGCACATTTAGGGCTGCCCCATTAGAACAGGGTGTTCTGATCGTGCTCCTTCATTAGGCTTGAGCGATATGGGCCACATTTACATTTCAACCAGAAAGCACTTGATGTCGTGCTATGAAGTCAAGCATTGTTCTTCTTGTGCTTCCTGAGCCCACAGAGGCACAAATACTAGTATCCTGGAGAACCTGTGATTCTTAAATCAGCAGTGTCTCCAGGTTCTCCTTCCAAGGGGAAAGACTGGGAACCATTCTCTTCAATTTGTGAATCAAAACTGTCCCCTTTAGGTGGAGTGGAGTCCCCTCTGACTGTGCCACCTGCTATGATAAGTCATGTTGTGGGGATATTTCACATGATGGTAACAGCTGATTTTTTCTGAGATTTTTTAACATTAGGCACAACTGTAAGAGAAAGAAAGAAAGGCTGGAATAGATGTATGAGCTTATTTAGTCACTAGAGAGGAAAGTGTTTTGAGTATAAATTCAGTTTTGGCTATCATCCACAACCTGGTGGGGGGAGCTCCAACTAATAGTATAATACTCTTATAAGTGCTATATGTTCTGGGCACTGGGTTGTTTCACATAAATTATTTTTGTTCTAATAATATATCTTGAAAATCATTACTCAGAGGAGTAAGGTAAGTTGCTGTAGATCTGGGAGCAGGGAAGTGACACAGCTAGGACTCCAATCAACCCAGATCTATTTGATTTCAAAATCATGGGCTTTCTTCAGGAGCGGATTTCAGTTAGATCTCTTTCACTGACAATTCCTTTTGTTTAAAAACTTACACTTTTTGCTTTAAAAAAATTGTACTTTTCATTTCAGCCCGGTTCGGGACACAGTAGTCACTAATGATCGCTGGGCAGATGGCAGCATCTGTAAGCACGGTGGCTACTACACCTGCAGTGATCGTTACAACCCAGGACATCTTTTGCCACATAAATGGGAAAACTGCATGACGATAGACAAGTTTTCCTGGGGCTATAGGAAGGAGGCTAGAATCTGTGACTATCTTACAATCAACGAATTGGTGAAGGTACAGTAAGATGTCTAGTGGCTGTTATTATAATCTTAAGAGTGAGGTTGTATGAGAATTATTTCTTATAATTTGTATAGCTTGATGGTCTATAATACCCTAGGTATTACTCTATTTGCTATATTTGTTTTTCTACGTAGAAGTTATATATACACGCATAAATATAACATATTAATATATTTGAGATAGAATTATTTTATCTAAGAACTATATTTATTCTTAATTTTTTAGCAACTTGTAGAAACAGTTTCATGTGGAGGAAATCTTTTGATGAATATTGGGCCCACACCAGATGGCACCATTTCTGCAATTTATGAGGAGCGATTAAGGCAAATGGGAACCTGGCTAAAAGTCAATGGAGAAGCCATTTATGAAACTAACACCTGGCGGTCCCAGAATGACACTGTCACCCCAGATGTATGGTAAGTCATTCTTGATACCAAGTGCTATTTGATAGAAGAAGGCATTTAAAGTTTCTTGGAGATATAAAGTGAAGAATAGGATAAAAAGATAAATCAGATCAATGCCTAACTACACAAAGTACTTTCCAAACTTTATTTACTCTAATATAAAGCGAAGGAAGGGGAAGAAATTAACATGGTTTTGAACACTTATTGTTTAACAAATTGAGCTTAAATCATTGCTGGATATCTCCTAATGCTGGACAAATTTTAGCTGAAAGTAGTCAGCTCTTAAAAACTTGTGAGCCAGTCAGACAAATGAAAAATGCTGAGTGGTTAATGTAAAACAGAGACTATTGTTTAGTCAGTTCAGTAAATTCTAACTTTTGCAGATGTTTCATCCCATCAAATTCACAAGCAAGAGGTCCCAAGGGCAGAGAAAATGTTAGATTAAAAATCAGCCAAAGGGGCCGGCCCGGTGGCGCAGTGCTACAGTGTGCCGCTTGGGAGCGCGGCGGCGCTCCTGCCGAGGGTTCGGATCCCACGTACAGACCGGTTCCCGCTCACTGGCTGAGCGAGGTGTGGGCGCAACACCGAGGGTTGCGATCCCGTTGCCGGTCCTGGTCCGGTACGGGCGTGACACTGAGGGTTGCGATTCGTTGCCGGACACGAAAAAAGAAAAAAAAAAAAAAAAAAAAAATCAGCCAAAATAGAGAGGATTCTGGGAAGATGGTGAAGTAGGAAGCACAAAGAATCTGTCTCCCCACCTTGACGACAGTTGTGCTGGTAGAATTTGTCTGATGGACAATCATCACAAGAAAAGGTACTCAGCATCACTATTCATTAGAGAAGTGCAAATGAAAATTACAATGAGGTGTTACCTCTCATCTATTTGCATGGGTATTAGAAAACAACAACAAAAAAAAGAAAACAACAAGTCTAGTGAGGATGTGGAGAGATTAGAATCCTTGTGCACTGTTGGTGGGAATATAAAATGGTAGAGCTGCTGTGGAAAATAGTATGTAGGTTCCGCAAAAAATTAAAAACAGAATTACCACATGATCTAGCAATTCCACTTCTGGGTATATATCCAAAAGAATGAAAGCAGGGTATCAAAGAGATATTTGTATACCCATGTTCATAGCAGCATTATTCACAGTAGCTAAAATGTTAAGCAACCCAAGTGTCCATTGGCAGAGGAATGGATAAGTGAAATGTGGTACATACATAGAGTGGCATATTATTCAGCATTGAAAAAGAAGGAAATTCTGAAATATGCTACAATATGGATGAACTTTTAGGACATTGTGCTAAGTAAAATAAGCCAGTCACAAAAGAAAGTATATGATTCCACTTATATGAGGTACTTAGAGCCATCAAAATCACAGAGAGAGAAAGTAGAGTGGTGGTTTCCAGGGTTGGGGGTAGGGAGGAATGGGGAGTTATTTTTTTAATGGATACAGAGTTTCAGTTTTACAAGATGAAGAGAGTTATGGAGGTGGATGGTGGTGATGGATGCATAACATCTTAAATGTATTTAATACCACTGAACTGTATCCTTTTGAAGATGGTAAATTTTACGTTATATGTATTTTATACCCCCATGAAAGAATTAGAAAAAAATCAGCCCCAAATAACAACATTATTTTAATTGATTACAAAACAAGGATGGCCAGTAAGCTCAAGTGGTTTGTGCACTGTGTTACAACACCAAGGTCAAGGGTTTGGATCCCCTTAGCAGCCAGCCACTAAAACAAAACAAAACAAAACAAAATTTGTTACTTGTTCATACTATTCTTATAAATGTACAGCTAAAATCTCTTTAAAATCAATGATCTTAACTTGCTAATTTTTCTTTTAACCAGTATCTTTTATGTGTGTGTGTGTGTGTGTGTGGCTGGCTGGTATGGGGATCCAAACCCTTAACTTTGGTGTTATCAGCACCACACTATACCCAATTGAGCTAACCAACCAGCCCTTAACTAGGATATTCTTTAAAAGCCTTGCCTCAAGCTTCTCTCTGAGCTTGGGAAGGTTCTGTGTGCCAGTGAGTACTTGAATTCAGACTCTGCATATATGATGGCTTTTGATGTGGGGTCTAACACATATAAATAAGGGTAGTATTAGAGAAGTTCTAAAAAGTCACCTTGTGTCACCACCTAAGTGAGTACTGCTTGATCAAATATAAATCAAAAGATTAGATTAAATGTTCTTCAGTCCTGGGCCGGCCCGGTGGCGCACTGCTATAGTGCGCCGCTTGGGAAGCGTGGTGGCACTCCCGCCGAGGGTTCGGATCCCACATACAGACCAGTTCCCGCTCACTGGCTGAGCGAGGCGCGGGAGCAACACCGAGGGTTGTGATCCCGTTGCTGGTCCTAGTCCGGTGTGGGGGTGACACTGAGGGTTGCGATCCGTTGCTGGACATGGAAAAAGAAAAAAAAAAAAAAAAAAAAATGTTCTTCAGTCTAACTTGACTTAGGACTTAAAACATTGTCAACTCATTGAAGAAAGTAAAGTCAGGCAATCTAGACAGAAACAAATGATTCGTATTTTAGAATTGAGTTTTAGAATGTTAGGTCAGGGAGAAGCCATAATGAGAATTCAATACCGATCTCTCATGTTACAGAGGATAGTTTAAATCTGGTTTTGGAATTTCTGTACTTTATTTGAACATGAGATTAGCTGATCTGAGACTTCAATCATTAACCAGTATTCTATTTAGTGTTTATTTCAATAAATAAAGATAAAATCCAAAATATTTAACGTGGCTCTTAAAGCCATGTGTCTGGCTTCCACTAACTTCCCTGCCCCCAAGTGGCCCTGCTGTCCCTTCTTACTCTAGGAGCACTTTTCCGCCCCAGGGTCATGGTGCATGCCTTCTCTCCTCCTGCAGTCACCTACAGACTCCCAGGTGAATCCTTAAGGTCTTTTGTGAATTTAGCACTGGCTCACTGTCCTTGTCCCCAGAACTACTCTTAACATAATTCTTTGTGATTTTAGTACCGATATTCACAGTTCTTCTAATTTGATGAACCGCCTCTCTTCTAGGGACCCTGTCCCCTCTGCCTTTCCTACCCCTTCCTTTGGTTATACCTTACCTAGGCCTTGCACTACCAATAACTGCTCCTCTTCCATGGTTTTAATATGAAGCATTCTACTGTCCTGCTACCACCTCTTACATTTCAGCTCAGTCCACATAGCACTTTGGCTTCCAGAGGGTTCTATAATCTAATGATCATACCATCCTTAATCCTATCGCCTTTTCTCTGTCCCTCAGCTCTCTCATGTCTTCTCTTCTGTATCTGGGTCAGATTCTGTGGCCCATCACTGTAGCTGATCCATTGCACATAGCGTCAAGTCCTTAGCCCTCTCTCCCTCTGTCACACTCACTTGACAGAACATCAACTTTGATTAAATTCAGGTCTTGCCCCCGGACAGCTAAATGTGGCTAGAAACACACACACACACACACACACACGTCAAATTATCTCACATTTGGCTTTAAGGCCAACCCTTGTGTCCTGGATCCCATCCCAAATCATCCACTCAAGGATTGGTAGAGCAATGATCCCCTTTTGTGCTTTATCTTCAATTTTTCCCTTTTTAATTATTTATTTTGTATAGACTTTATTTTTTAGCAGTTTTTGGTTTACAGAAAAATTGAGCAGAAAGCAGATAGTGCAGATAGCTCTCATACCGCCCCCCACCCCCCGAGTTTCCCCTTTTATTAACCTCTTAATCTTAGTGTGGTACATTGGTTACAATTATGAACCAATATTGACCTATTATTATTAACTCAGTTTTACATTGTTTCCCTCTTTGTGTTGCACAGTTCTATGGGTTTTGTCAAATGCATAATGTGTGTTCCCTATTACAGTATCGTACAGAATGGTTCCACTGCCCTTTGTAAGTAGGGTTATTTCTCTCATCTTAAAAAGGTACTCTTTTGACCCTACTTATATTTCTAGCTACCATCCTATGTTTTTCCTTTCCTTTATAGTAAGACATCTTGAAAGAATCGTTTTTACCCATTCTCTCTGATTTCTTGCTCTGGATTTTCTTTTGAACCCACTCTGGTCAGGTTTCTGCCCCCACACTCCACAAACTTGCTGTCACCGAGGCCCACAGTAATCTCTCCCTTGCTAAATCTAGTGAGTAGTTCCCAGTTCTCATTTTCTGAACTTGTTGGCAGCGTTTGCCTCAGTTGATGGCCGTCTCTCCTGGTTTTCATCATACCTGTTGGCTGCTCCTTCTTAGTCTTTGCTGATTCCACCTCATTTTCCCAACCTCTAGATCTTGCAGTGCCCTGAAACTTAGTCCTTAGACATCTATTCTCTATTTATCTTAGTTCCCCAGGTGACCTCATCCATTTTCATGCCTTTAAATGCCATATCGATGTACTTCCCATGTACATTTCCAGTGCAGACCTCTTTCTGAACTCCAGCCTTATATATTTAACTTCCTACTCAAGCATCTTAAACCTGTTATGTCCAAAACTGAGATCCTGATTTTTAAAATTTTGCTACAAACTAGCTCCACCCATGGTTTTCCCTATCTCAGTAAATGTTAGTTTCATCCTTTCAGGTTAGGCCAAAAACCTTAGAGCCCTACACTCTCCTTTCTTTTACATCCCACAACCAGTCCATCAGCAGATATCATCATCTCTATCTTTGAAATATACCCAGAGTCTGACCACTTCTCATCCTCTCTGTGGCACCCCTCACCTTTTGGTTTCCATTGTCTCTCCCCCTGGATTATTTCAGAAGCTTCTTGACTAGTCTCCATTTCCACCCCTGTCACACAAAGCAATCCATCCTCCAGAAAGCAATCAGAATAAACTTTTAAATAATGTCAGGTTATGCTACTCCTGTGCTCAAATTTTTCCAGTGGCTTCCCATCTCAGAGAAAAAGCAAGGTCTTAGAAAGGCTTACAAGGTTCTATAAAATCTGGCTCTTTGCTGTCCCTCTGATCTTGTCTGCTATACCTCTCTCCTTTGCTCCCTCCTTCGGCCACTCTGCTGTCCTTGCTATTGTGTCAGCAAGCCAAGCATCCTCTTGGACTGTGGCTCCTGCACTGGCTGCCATGCCTCGAGGGCTCCTTCTCCAGACGCTGACATGGCTCTCCCTTGTTCTTCAGGTCTCAATGCCGCCTCTAGAGAGGTCTTCCTTGACTATTCTTTTTTTTTTTTTTGTCTTTTTCCGTGTCCGGCAACGGATCGCAACCCTCAGTGTTGCCGACGTACCGGACCGGGGACCGGCAACGGGATCGCAACCCTCGGTGTTGCTCCCGCGCCTCGCTCAGCCAGTGAGCAGGAACCGGTCTGTATGTGGGATCCGAACCCTCGGGCGGGAGCGCCGCCGCGCTTCCCAAGCGGCGCACTATCCAGTGCGCCACCGGGCCGGCCCTTCCTTGACTATTCTACTTCTAATAACACCCCAGACCCCTCCTTTCCAGCCTAGCATGCCCAGTCCTTCTTACCTGGCTTCAGCTTTTCCATAGCACTTAGTCATCATCTGACGTATATTAATTTGTTCATTCCAGTTTCTCCCACTAGGATGTGAGCTCCATGAGGACAGGGACTTTGTTCAGTGCTATATCTCTACCTCTGAAACAGTGACGAGCATTTTAAGATTTCAATAAATACTCTTAATTGAATGAATAATCAATTCTGTTTTCTTCATCTAGAGCATATCCCTCTTACCTTTTCCTTTCATTTTCATCCATCCCTTAAGTCTGAGATTAAATGCCATATTCATGGAGAGACTTCTATCTGATGGTTTAATCTAAAGAGATCCTTTTGTTGTAATCTCTCAATTTCCCTTCCTTTCATAGTGCTTATCAAAACTCATACTTTTATATTATCTGTGTGATTATTTAGTGTCTGCTTTGCCTACTCTAGTCAAAGCTCTGCAAGTATTATATGCGTTTTGTTTTCTATTGGATCCCTAACATAAAGCACAGTACTAGGCACAGCGTTGACACATGCATATTATTTGAATGAACAAATATAAACGTTTGAGTCAGTATGTGGAAAGCCATCTAGTAGCTCTTGCATCCTACCCCCTTAGTTCCCTCCACCCTTTTTTCAACTCCACAAGATCATCTGATGAAGAGGAGGAGTACTAGCCCAGGAAAATATTTTTCTTTCACAATCTTCCTTTTAGAATTGGAGGCGTGGGAGAGGGAGTTGCTTTTTATACCACCATGGAGTTATCTTTCCTTCCCTTCTATTAATGGAGACATTTACTAAATGAAAGTATCTCTGTAAAATAATTCCAGACCTGACCCATAAATAATTAGAACCATGGATGTTACCTGTTACTATGCTTTTTATTTTTTTCTTTTAATCAGGTACACATCCAAACCTAAAGAAAAATTGGTCTATGCCATTTTTCTTAAATGGCCCATATCAGGACAGTTATTTCTTGGCCAACCCAAAGCTACTCCGGGGGCAACAGAGGTAAGAAGGAATTTTATCTTTATTGTTCCTGTAAATTGCTGACTAGAATATCCTGATGAAAAAATAACTTGTTTTAACTTCAAGTTAGCCTTCTATATGTGTTCCTCTTATACCTCACAAGAGTAATTTTAAAATGAACTTCATCAGTGGCAAATGTTTGGCCAAAATCTTTGAAACTTTTTGTTTCAAACTTGACAGCTACCTCCATGCATATCAGTGTAAAATAGATATTGTTCTTTACAGTCATTCTGTGTTTTTCAAGTTCATGTCATGCATCTAAAATGATCCTTTTCATAAAACTGGAATTTAGATACTTCCCCTGACACCCCACCCCAGAACACATCTGAATAAAGTAAGATGTCATGACCCTTCCATTTTAAGTTTCTAAAAAATCTTGGAGAAAGTTAAAGATTAATCTGACTATTGTAACCACCAGGTCTGGTATTGAGTTTATATTGATATATTTTGAATTGTTGATATGGTTCTCCTTGTATCACCTTTCCACGTGTCACTTCTAACACTTGTGGTTGATCAGGCAGAAGGAAGATGGAGTTTAAATCTAATGTTTAATTACAGTTTGAGTATGCCTGAGTATGACACTGATTATCCTAATTTTATCTATGTTCTCTTTGTCACCAATTAATATCACTATTTAAAAGTTCATGAATTTTGTTTTTGTAAGAGGGGTCTTCAAAAAGTTTGTGGAAAGATTCATACTATCTTTCTTTTTTTTTTTTTTTTTTTTTTTTTTTTTTTTTTTTTTTTTCTTTT